ACCATTATAGTTTAGGACACACTTTTATGCATAATTATTTTAAAATTGAGCCAGGGGCCTATTGACTCAAAAAAGGCGGAATTCTGCGGAAGGCTCCGAATCCAGCATTGGTAAATATCATACATAATGTTAATGTACACACTGTAAAATGTACAGGATTTTTAGCGATACAAGAGAAAGCTATATTATTATTTATTTAAACTAAATTTCTAGTCTTGTCCATATTTGCAATTTATCTAATTATGAATGCTGAAATTTCTGACCAAATTAATGATATGAGAGGACGCAATAAAATAAATAAAAATAAATTTGATAAAATAAAATCCGCAAAAGGGATTGTTGATTTTGAAGAAATCATGCAAAATGCCTATAAACCAAATGGGTTTGATGTTGATCTTCTTGAATTTAGTATTATATCAAAACTAAAACTAAAGAAAAACCAAACGTGCGATCAGGTTAGTTAAATATTAGTGTAAATACTTGACATAAATAGTCAGACGCAAATTATGCAGTTGAAAGAGCTGAAACTTTAAATTGACAATAAATCAAATAAAATTTGGTAAACGCTTTAAACTGGTTCCTTAAGTCAATAAAGCCCTAAGGTAACTGATATTAATGCATATTTGTACATATTTCGTTAATTCATTGTTAGACCCCCCCCCCCTCCCAATGTTGGCGGACATTTAGTGGGGGAGGGGTATGTCGTTATAAACAAAAGGGTGTAGGGTGGGGGTTTCCAGACATGCCCCCATTAATTAAATAGCGGCATGATCAATGGAAACCATAGTGCGGGGAAAATTTCCTACACTATTTGTCCCTGTTGGGTGGACAATGGGGTACCGCCGGCCAACCGACCGCCGCCCAACCTACCGCGAGTCAGCCTTTCGCGGGCCGAACCTATCGATGCCCAACCTACTGCGCGTCCAACACCTGATATTTATTTAAACAAATTAATTAAATCTAATAGCAAAATCAATAAAGTTCAACGGAATATTATCGCAACAAAACAAAGAAAAATTCTCTCCTGATGGATATACTTATGTAATTGATAAATCGATTGATGATGGTGATAAAATTTTTTGGCGCTGTGACAAGCGTAGTAGAACAGAATGCAAAGGACGAATCCAGACAGCAGCTGTTGAAGAAAGTAGTTTCTTCTTTCGAAACGTGGAGGCTTCGTCTTTCCAGTACTTTTCTGTTTGTTACCCGACAAAACCGAGCAAACTTACTCATCTTTTCACTCTTATCGAGGAAATGTGGCCAATATTCAATCCACCATCAATATCCTTCGATTTCGACGCGTAATCCATAATTCTATACGCACTTCTTACATAATCTTCGATCTTTTGTTGTTTGTTTCACCTCCGTGTAAATCTCAGAAAACATTTATTTCAATGATATCTATTGAATTTCTATAATAATGACCCTGACTTCGCTTTAAAGTGTAAAATGATTATTGCCTTAGCTTTTTTCCGCGAAAATGTTCTTATTTATGCCGTTAATATTTTAGAAAATTCTTAATAATATTTGTTCCTTATTTAATTCACTATGATTTCTTCTTCATTTGAGCCCATTATTTTCAATTTGAATAAAATTATGACATAAAAGTTGTGCCCCATTACTTTCTTGTCACCATATAAAAATGTACAGTACAGGCGAAAGGATAGGTGCTTTCCAACCCAGTATCAAATTGAGTACATGATAAATTGGCTAATTTATTTAAATTCAGATTTATGACAATTGGTTAAACGCGTCAAAAAATGATATACCCACAGATAATCCTATAATTTTATTAAAAAATAATTTTACATTAAATGGTTATTCAATATTAAGTGAATGTTACTTTAATGATTCATATAAATATAAACAATTAAATAATGATGAAGTTTCTTCAATATCAAAAAAGTGGACCAAACAAAACATTGATGAATGGATAACACAAATAAAGGATGGTAATAATTCACAACTACAAATTAGTCAATATCCTGATGGAAGTAACTAACTAAATTATTAATTTCAAGTTCAAACTAGGGTAGCACACCGTCTCTCGACTCCATGACCACCACAAACCCGACGAACCCCATCTGTCGAGCAAACTCCAAGTCTGGGTTTTTGCACATTTAACGTTAAATCAACATTTACGCGACCAATAAAATGGACTCTTGTCCAGTTTATGCGTCCCATGAAGATTTATGCGTCCCATGACGATTTACGAGTCCCATAACGATTTATGCGTCCCATAAAAATTTTATGCGTCCCATGACGATTTATGCGTCCCATGAGAATTAATGCGTCACATGAAATTAATTGAAAAAATTTGAAAAAATATTCGAAAATTAAAAAATAACATTTAATTTTTTATTATATAAAGCCTTGCTAAAGGGCCTTTAGCAACTATAGTTGTTAGGTAAAATTTCGGTATACGAAACAGACGCCGATTAAGTCGAATGATATGTCATTCGAAAAATATTTTTGTGCTGACTCATAGAGGGTCTGAGAAATAAGCCCCCGAAAATCGAAAAACCATAGGAGGGGTAGTGGGAGTAAGCTCGATTTTAAGGTGAAAAATTCGAATATGCATATAATAGCTCAAAAAAAATTCGAATATGCATATAATATGGTAATTCTTCGGTTGTCGCCCCCCCTTTTTTTTATGCTTCCCTGACCATTTTGAGCTTTTTTGCTTTGACATATAATAATTTATATATCATTCGAAAGAGCTATCCGAGATGAGTTGATTGGTACTATGATCGGTTAGATTTGGCAATTTTGAACAAAATTATGAAGCTAAATCGGTAATATTGAACGTGACAGACCCCCTTTTTTCCGGTCATACGACACTTGCAGATATGACATTTGCAGACCCGACATTTGCAGACGACTTTTGCAGATCGACATTTGCAGATACCGACACTTGCAGATATGACACTTGCAGATCAAACATCTGCAGATCCGACTTTTGCAGATATTAATTTTTGAAAAAAATTTTTTAAAAATTTAAAAATCTTAATAAATCAAATATAAGACCCATACCAATTCGTCTTGACGAGCTGAGTCGAACGGCACCACTCTTTTTTCCAGAGAATCTCTTTTTTCCGGAACAGTTTTTCCTTGATTCCTTCCGTTTTTTCCTCCCCAAGTTTCCTCCCCAAGTTTTACCCTGTATACTTACAGAATGGTCAGACTTTTTCCTTTCTCCCTTCCCAATTGCCTTTCTACAAATCCTACAATCAATCAAAAACGTAACAGTTTTTCCTTGATTCCTTCCCAATTGCCAAAAGTTGTTCCATTTTTTTATAAATTGAGAACAAAATTAATACTCCTCTTACTTTTTTTGCATATACTTTCACTTGTATAAAATTAAATAATCCTTTTTGTTTGATTTCTGGCAAATATAGAAAGCAATTGGGATGGGTGAAAAGAAAAAGTCTGAACATTCTGTAAGAATATAGGGGAAAAACTTTGGGAGGAAAAAAGGGGGTCTGTCAGGTTCAATATTACCGCTAAATCCTTTGTGGACATGTTTTTTGTGATGTTGAAAGGGATTAAAACAATTGCTCATAACTATGTTGATTTAATTCAGATTTCGACGATTATAGTGCCGTTCGACTCCGCTCGAAGTGTTCTTTCGAATGTATATAAAAGTTCATAGAAATTTCATTGAAAATGTAAAAAAAATATAACATAAAAAAAGGGGGGGCGACAACCGAAGAATTACCAAGAGCTCGTCGAGCTGAGTCGAATGACACCAAAATCAACGAAAACCGACTTGATTTGACTAAGTTGATATTTTCGAATATTTTTTCAATTCCTTTTATGGGACGCATAAAATTTTTATGGGACGCTCCGGAAGATTTGTTATACCGGATTGGAGACTGGTAACAGTTCGTGGTTTTGCCAATTTCTCTTATTCATTATAAGATTTATAACATATTGTATTCATAAATCTAAATATTTTGGCCCGCTGTGTAAAATTTAAAGGTTACTAAAACCTTAATATTAAACACCAACAAAAGAATTAACATCGGTAGTATTTTGGATGAGTCCTCCTTTTTTGAGTTCTTTGAGATTAGTCAAAATGCATTAAAATAAACGAAATCTAACTTATATGAAGAATGTTATGATTATTTGTTTAAAAGCAGCGGCACAAAGTTTTCAATAATGTTAAACATACAGTAACTGAAATTTAGTCAAGGAAAAAGAATTGACAATAAAATCTTAAATCATCTTCTCATTTGAGTTTCACTTTATTATGCAACAAAATATTACAATATAATCGGGAAGATAGGAGCAGTTATTGGATCATATATACCATGGGTGGAAACTATGTGTCTAGCAAATGGCGCAAGTAAAATTGTCACAATTGATTATCAACCGATTAAAATTGGACATGAAGATATTATTTATTTAAATGCTTTTGATTTTGTTAAAAGAAGAAATTTGTGAGTTTACCTACTAGTATACTTTAAATGAAATTATTTGGTAATTTCGCATTAACTCCCCACAATGTGCGCAAATGTTTCTTCTTTTATCATAAAGATTAAAAATAATCAAGGAGTCAGGAATTAATTTTGAGTAAGGCCAGTCAATATGTGAGAAAAGTTGTACCAACAAAATTACAAACAAAATCTGACGAAATAGTCATGAAATTAAGTTAAGTATCGGAATACAAAATAGATTGAGGAGTACTTTATAATATCACCCCCACCCCTATTTGAGCCGCAAACTAATTTTCCTCAATCAATTATCATTTTATTTTTTATTTTTATGTCAGGAACATAAGAAAAGATGGAAAAGGGAGCAGGCCAACGTACCGCGAGCCCAACGTACCGCAGAGCTATAACTTCGTTCAAAATTATCGAATCCGGGACGCTTTAGTGTGGTTCGCTGCATCTTGACGAGCTGAATCGAACCATATCAGGGCGTCCCGGATTCGACCATTTTGAACGAAGTTATAACTCTGCGGTACGTTGGCCTCGCGGTACGTTGGGGTGTACCCAATGGAAAAAGATGGTAAATTTGGGGGCAAAGATTTGCGGACAATGTGGGGAGTTAATGCTAATGTACCAAAATCTTTTTCTAGATATTTTAATAGCTTTGACTTTGTTGCTAGCTTTTCAAGTATTGAACATTCTGGTTTGGGACGTTATGATGACCCTATTGATCCAATTGGAGATATCAGGGAAATGCAAAAAATAAGTTGTATTTTAAAGCCAGGAGGACTTTTCTTTCTTGGAATTCCTGTTGGACTGGATGATGTTGGTGTTAATTGTCATAGAACCTATGGAAGAATTAGATTACCATTAATGTTTGCAGGTCGTTGAATATTTTTGTGCTTATTATAGCACATTATCAAAATATGTATAATTTAATATAGTAAATAATATTTCATCAAAAATAATGTAATATTTCAAATTTCTTCAAATTTCAGGATTCAAATTGCTAGATGTTTTCCATTTAGATGAAAATCCATTAGAGTTGAACGTTGAAGTATTTGAAAAAGTTAGAGATAAAAATCCACATATTTCAACTCAATTTGTTTTTGTACTTAAAAATGATGAATAAACATTGCGGCAAATCAGGCCAGCGATTTGAGCAACTATTTTCCAGCGATTATTTTCAATATTGATAATTCTAAAATTTTTTCGATTTACGACTTTTAAAAATATCCTTATTTAGAAACATCTATGATCCTGACTTCAACCTAGTCAAAACAAAATAAAAACCCAACTTCGCAAACCCGACCGTGAATTTTTTTATTTGGTCGGTCGATTTTTTTGATTGTTAAATTTTTCTGTGGGTATTTTTTCGATAAGTTATCGAAAAATAACTAACAACAGACTAGGACATTGACATTGATTTTGCTATCCGTATCCGTGGGGTCAATATCCGTATCCATTTACATATATCCGTGTAATTTTTAAAGAAAATCCAACCGCAAGTATATTCGTATCTTAAACCCTTGTCAAAGATGAAAAACGATGAAATTTCAGGTGGTATTAAAGTTTCTGTAAACATTATATTTTCCTTTTTATTTATTTTAGCTATTTATGTGACGACTAAGGATAGACCCATTAATGGTCACCCTGTAATTCAATAAATTATTTATTTTAAAACAATGTTTTAAAATTATTTAATATTATCAAGTGCTGTTGAATTTTGAAACTTTGTATGTTTAGCAATTAAGTACATTGGGAACCTTCCTTCATAATTTGTGCGAAGATTCCTTCCTCCAAAAAATCCATCGTCACTAAATTGACCTAAACCTACTGTAAAAAATAAAAAAACTATATCAGGGTGTTTGAAATCATTTTATTTTAATTTAAACGAAATTTGCACTGTTACAGAAGTATCTAAAAATCCAGCACTTCTGTATCTATGTACTACAACCCTACAAGGAAATTTTTAAGTCTAACAAGAGCATTCCTATGCGGCTTGAATTGATTAATTTTTTTCCAACAATAGATTAATCTAGAAATTGAAATGAAAGATTCGAAATACAAATTATTGCTAATCTATAAAGCTCTGCTCGAGTATATAAGATAATAAATATGAGGGGGTTATCATGTAAGTTACATATAGAATTTGATATATGCGATCCATTATTTTATTCCTTTAGTCCGGTAATCAAGTTATTATGAAAGTTAATTTAATTTTATGTTTCGTTCGAAATAACAAAAAACAAAGCAAGAAGGAGCAGAGCAAATTTCGTTTAACACTGATTATCAAATTGATAAATATAAATTAAAAACCAATTAAGTCTCCCTTTTCTGCCAAAAGAAGTTTATTTGAAGATGAATTTTGTTCTAAATATTAAATTAGTATGGCTGTGTGATTATTACTATAATAATAGGGTTGCAAACCGGACGCATGGGAAGGTGTTCTGGCTCGTAGTGGGAGTCTTAAGGGACAAATTTTTTAAGAAAAAAATTTTCAGAAGTTAATTCGTTCTGTCTATTTTAGTTAATTCTGTTAAAAAATTATCTAGAGTTGTGGGATTAAATTGATATCAATAATTGCAAATCCCCTTAGTTTTGGAGATATTAATGTAATTTAAAGGGATAAATGTATATCCGGGATATAAGAGGATTTGTAGGAATCCAAGTCTCTACAGAGATTTCAGTGGTTGAGAGATATCGAATGATTGTGAATTTGAATGGATTGAGGGGTTATCATGTAATTTGAATTATAACTAGAGATTTGTGAAAAAATAACTATAGTACATAGATTAAATAAACTTGAGTAAATTAGGAGAACTTTTATGTATTTCTTTTTAAATTTACTCAAAAATATATTTTATAAGATAATATACACTAGAGATCGGCACAGGACAGGATCCCGCACAGGATTTTTCAGGATCCTGTCCGAAATCCTGCCTTTTTTTCAGTTTTCAGGATTATCAGGATTCCAGGATTTTCAGGATTAATCCTGCAGGATCCTGTCCTGTTCGAAATTTTAAAACACAATCCTGTTACAGGATCCGTCCTGTTAATTTTCATGGTTCAAGATTTTATTTTGTCGCCTGCGGCGCTGAAAAAGGACGATTTTTGTCTTACTGGCCTTCCAAAATCCTTAAAATTTTCGCCTGCGGCGCTGAAAAAGGAAGAAATCTGGCACAAAAATCCCAAAAGTTTTGCCTGCGGCGCTGTAAAGGGAAGTTGAATGATATATCAGAGGATTTGGACAGATTAAGGAGTATTTTGAGTTATATCGTTGAATTAAATTACTGGATTTTAGTGATATTCGAATATTTGAAGGAATCTAAGGATATAGCGAGGGATTTGGCCTTCCGAAGCGGCATTACTTGAACTAGGTTTTTCCTCTATTAGTTGGTACTCGACTTACACTACTTGAAATACCAAATTTTTGACCCAACAACGGGGGATGTTGACTCAGTAGTGGGGGAAGTTGTTCCAACAGTGGGGATGACGTTCCAATGACGGAAACAACTTTTCTCAGCGAAAATTCAGCTGGGACATATTAGACAAAAATTAAAAATTTTGATTTTCAGCGCCGCATGCATAAATTTTGAGAAATTTTGAGATTTTTTGAAAATCCCGAAATCCTGGACAGGATCCTGGAAAAAAATTGACAGGATTGGCAGGATTTCAGGATTTTCAGGATTAATCCTGCAGGATCCTGTCCTGTTCGAAATTTAAAAACCCAATCCTGTTACAGGATCCTGCAAATGCGATTTTACCGATCTCTAATATACACTAAACTTTTTAAGTCTGGGTTTTCAATACGTTTGAGGCATTGTTCTGGGTTCGGTTGATTGTGAAAAATTTGTTAGGTAATGTGTCAAGATGCAACTCTACTATACATATAAGCAGTTGGCAGAATAGTCCAAAAAAATGTGCAGTATACCTTGTATAGGTTTATAATCAGCGGTTGCTACCATTGCATTGGCTAAAAAAATTTTTTTTTATCTAACTCGAAGTAAAATTTTCATTAACATAGCCAATAAAAATGATCAACAGATTGGGCATTTTCACTCGCATCACCTTGAATTGTTTGCATAAGCTCATAAGCTACTTGACATGCCTATAATTAAATAGTATATTATTATGCTTACATCGGAACGGGCCTCTTGAGCGTGACCGATTGAGCGTGAGGACAGTTGAGCGAGGACCGTTTGAGCGTGGCCAGTTGAGCGCACCATGTTTATTGGCCAGTTGAGGGTCAATTTATTATTACACTGATAAACTTCTGGCAAAATGTTTAATAATAAAAAACGACAAAATTTTCATGTTTCAAATAAAATTTTTGTGATTTTACGTAAATTCTTCGTTTTTAAAAATTCATGCCTTAAAATTTAGAATGGAACTCCAAGATATTAAGACAAAAAGGAACAAAACTCAATTACAACACGAGGGTTTTCTGTATGTTTTTCATCAATTTAATTCTGCTAAAGACAAAAAGTTCTGGAGGTGTGAACAGTTCAACACGAAAGAAGTAAATTATCACGGCCGTTTACATTCAACAATGGAGGATGTTGTATTGAGAACAGTAGGGCAGCATGTTTGCAACAATAGTGCTGCCAATGCCTCATACAGGAATTAAGAGAAAGGCGGAAGAAACGATGGACTCCAGCAGCAATTAGAACTCGCATTCTGCAGCAGGTTCCTACCCGAGTTCTTGCAAATTTGCCATCAAAAAATGAGATTTAAAAGATTTCTTAATTCTTTTTTATAGGTAGATAAGCGCGTTCGAAAGGAAATTGAAGCGCCACCACCAGTTCCTCCTTCAATTCATGAACTTCAAATTCCGAAGGCCTATCGTCGTTACAAAAGGAATGCAGACAAGGATGAACAGTATTTACTTTTTGATTCTGGAATGTACGATGGTAGCAAAGGTTAACATAAATTACAATCATTAGTTTACTCTGATTCATTTTAGGATGTTAATTTTTGGAAGAGAATCTTTTGGAACTTGGGCAGCAGAGATGAAATCATATATGGATGGAACATTTTTTAGTGTCGTTTTCTCAAGTTTATATCAATTTAGCTAGGTAATTAAAATTTTTAACTGTTAAAAAATTAAAATTTTTAACGTGTTTAGATTCTTCCCATCGATGTTCAGACTCTTCCCATTGATTATCAGTATTTTAATCCCCAACTCATTATTGAATTCTTGGCCGTTATTTCTTCAAATAACCATATGAATGCGTAGCCATTATGACCTAGTCTTTTTCGATTTTTTATTTTTGTAGATCTCAAAATTTTTGTTTTCAAATATTCTAGTTTTGATTTTTTGAATAAATTTTTGGCTACTAGTCTTTATGTTCTAGTTTTAAATTTTTGAATGAATCTTTCGGCCACATTGGCATTTGTAGTTATTCTAAGTATTGACGCTCAACCGGCCAATAAACAAGGTACGCTCAACTGGCCCACGCTCAAATGTCCTCACGCTCAATTGGCCACGCTCAACTGGCCACGCTAAATCGGCCACGCTCAAATGACACCAACCGTACTTACATTACTACTTAATGTACAAACTAAAAATTGGCATTTAGCGAGAATTTGAAATATTGCTAATATTTCAGTCACAGCTTCCAAAGAATCATCTAAAAATTAAATAGAATGGTAATTTTTAACAATTGGTTATTTGTAAACGATCCTATATATAATTTTAGAATTCTTGTCTGGTTGTCCGCAGCTTTGAATTTTGCTTTGTTTGGCGTTGTGTTTAGTTTTTAATTAAAAATGACAGAATATCCCAAAAAGAAAATAGTGTGTAATTGGAGAAGTCAAGAAAGTAATGAGATTTTTAAAATTTGTTTTTACATTTTTTTAGTTTTTTGGATGTAGTTTTATTTGTTTTT